GAGAGAGAGAGAGAGAGAGAGAGAGAGAGAGAGGGAGAGAGAGAGAAGAGAAAGAGAGAGAGAGAGAGAGAGAGAGAGAGAGAGAGAGAGAGAGAGAGAGAGAGAGGGAGAGGGAGAGGGAGAGGGAGAGGGAGAGGGAGAGGGAGAGGGAGAGAGAGAGAGAGAGAGAGAGAGAGAGAGAGTAGAGAGAGAGAGAGAGAGAGAGAGAGAGAGAGAGCAAGACAGCGAGAGAGACAGAGAGGGAGAGCGGGAGAGTTAAGAATACATGTCATCGGACGTCTGAGGGTGGGATTCTTACCAAGACCCGGAACGGATCACTCCCCTTCACTGCACCCGCTTACGCGGACTGCAGCGCTATAAGCGAAGGGAGTACTGGTGAGAGGAGAGGTGTAGCAGGGGTAGAGGTGCAGGAGTGCGCGGAGATGGGTTGGTGAAGGGAGCGAGCGTGTGGCAGGGGTAGAGACGCAGGAGTGCGCGAATGGGCTGGAGGGAGCAGTGTAGCAGCGGGTAGAGGTGCAGGAGTGCACGGAGATGGGCTGGTGAGGGGAGAGGTGTGGGGCAGGGGTAGAGGCGCAGGAGTGCGCGGAGATGGGCTGGTGAGGGGAGAGGTGTGGGGCAGGGTAGAGCGCAGGAGTGGCACGGAGTAAATGGGGCTGGTAAGGGTAGAGGTGTGGGGCATGGGTAGAGGCCGGCAGAGTGCGCGGAGGATGCGCGTTGGATGAGGGGAGAGGTGTAAGCATGGGTAGAGGTGGCACAGTGGCACGATGATGGGGCTGGCCTGAGGGGAGAGGTGCTAGGACAGGGGGTAGAGGCGCAGGAGTGCACGGAGATGCGCTGGTGAGGGGATGAGTGTAGGCATGGTAGAGGTGCAGGAAGTGCACGGAGATGCGCTGGTGAGGGGAGAGGTGTAGCAGGGGTAGAGGTGCAGGAGTGCACGGAGATGGGCTGGTGAGGGAGAGGTGTAGCAGGGGTAGAGTGCAGGAGTGCACGGGAGATGCGCTGGTGAGGGAGAGGTTGTAGGCGAGGGTAGATGGTGCAGGAGTGCACGGAGATGCGCTGGTGAGGGAGAGTGTAGGGCATGGGTAGAGGCAGGATGCACGGAGAATGGGATCTGGTAGGGAGAGGTGTAGCAGGCGGTAGAAGCGCAGGAGTGTGGCGAGATGGGGCTGGGAGGGAGAGGTGTAGGCAGGGGGTAGAGGTGCAGGAGTGCGCGGAGATGGCTGGTGGGGGAGAGGTGTAGCAGGGGTAGAGGCGCAGGAGTGCGGCGGAGATGGGCTGGTTGGACGGGGAGAGGTGTAGCAGAGTAGAGACGCAGGAGTGCAACGGACGATGGCTGGTAAGGGGAGAAGGTGTAGCAAGGGGTAGAGGTGCCAGGAGTGCAACGAGTATGCGGCTGGTGAGGGAGAGGTGTAGCAGGGGTAGAGGTGCGGAGTGCACGGAGATGCGCTGGTGAGGGGAGAGGTGTAGCAGGGGTAGAGGCGCAGGAGTGCGCGGAGATGGGCTGGTGAGGGGAGAGGTGTAGCAGGGGTAGAGGTGCAGGAGTGCACGGAGATGGGCTGGTGAGGGGAGAGGTGTAGCAGGGGTAGAGGTGCAGGAGTGCACGGAGATGGGCTGGTGAGGGGAGAGGTGTACGCAGGGGTAGAGGTGGCAGGAGTAGCGGGCGAAAGAATGGCGCCGGTGAGGGGAGAGGTGTAGCAGGGGCTAGATGTGGCAGGAGTGGTGCCGGAATGGGCTGGTTTGGAGGGAGAGGTGTAACAATGGGTAGAGGCGACGCTGAGGAGTGCGCGGAGATGGGCTGGTGAGGGGAGAGGTGTAGCAGGGGTAGAGGCGCAGGAGTGCGATCGGAGAATGCCTGGTAAAGGGGAGAGGCTGTAAGCAGGGGTTAGAGGTGCAGGAGTGCAACGAGATGCGCTGAGTGAGGGGAGAGGTGTGTGTACCCCCAGGGGTTAAGGTGGCACGGAGTCGCACGGAGACTCGGGCGGTGAGGGAGAGGTGTGGCAGGGGGTAGAGGTGCCAGAGTGCACGGAAGATGCGCTGCTTGAGGGGAGAGGTGTGGCAGCGGGTAAGGTGGCAAGCCGAGTCGCACGAGATGGGCCTGGCATGGAGGGGAGAGGTGTAGGCATGGGTTAGAGGGTGCAGGAGTGGCCAGACGCGCGGAGATGGGCTGGTGAGTAGACAATCATACACCACAGTTGTAACTCCTTGTCATTGTTTCACAGATTGAGTCCATCATTTGTAAGTCTGCTAATCAGTAAACCATCATTGATATAAAAGACTGATTCACAAAAGGATGCGTTGCTTGATCTATGCAATGGGACTCAATTTATTACTGATAGATGAACTAAAACACATTATTTACAAATGGGCGTTGTTCTCTTGTTTTGGTAAAGTTTGTACTGGGGCGTCAAAGCAAACCATCAAAGCAGCCAATCACCAGAACCCAGGACGCTCGCGGCAGGGGTAAAGAGGTGTAGGCAGGGGTAGACGGCGCAGAGTGTGGCGGAGATGGGCTGGTGAGGAGAGAGGTGTAGCAGGGTGGTAGAGGTGGCAGGAGTGCGGCGAGATGGGCTGGAGGGGGCAGAGGTCGTGGCAAGGCGGTAGAGGTTGGGGCAGGAGTGCGCGAGGATGGGCTGGTGAGAGGAGAGGTGTAAAGCAGGGGTAGAGGTGCATGAGTGCGCACGAGATGGGCCTGGCTGACGCCGGAGAGAGGTGCTGGAGCAGCGGGTAGAGGTGCACGGAGTGTGCGAGCTCACTTACCCGGGCTGGTGAGAGGAGGGTGTGGCGGTGGGGTAGAGGTGAATGGAGTGAACGCGAGATGCGGCCGTGGTGAAGGGAGCGAGCGTGTGGCGGGGTAAAGGGCGCAGGAGTGCGTCTGGAGATGGGCTGGTGAGAGGAAGCGTGGTAGGCAGGGTAGA